GTAGTGTATATTTAGAATTTCTTTTAACTTTTAGCAACACAAACTTTGCACACCTAGTTACTTAACCTTGAGATCTTTAGATCTTTAGGGAGAACAATATTAATTTTAACTAAGGTAAATTGTGCATTTAGTATCTAAATTATTAGTTTTGATTCGTTTTAGTACTTAAACTTTCAAATTTTTTCAAAAACATACATAATGTTTATTTTTCATTTCATTTTAGTACCTAAACTTTCATTTTTTTTTCTAAAACTTAACGTTAAATTTTGAATGGACTACTAAAATAAAAAAATACTAAAGTTTTAATTATAGGTACTAAAATAAAACATAAACTAAACTTTAGGTACTAAAATGAATTAAAACTGGTTGTTTGGTACAAAACACATAATTTACCCTTTTAACTATTGAGGCCAATAGATTCAATTGTTTAAATTTATTAGTTAGAATTAATTAATGAGATTAGTATAAGTTATTTAGGGTTTGTTTGGTTTTATATTTTATATTTTTATTTTTAGAAAATAATTTTCATTTTCAATTTTTTGAAAATTCAAAAAAAATTGTTGGTTATTATAAATGAAAACTTCAATTCAAAACTAAAATACTAAAAATATATATGGTATCTAATTTTTCTTAAATAGAAATAAAAATAATAGTTATTAAATACTTAAATTAGATTATAATTATTAAAAATCATTACATAAATTTAACATATGAGTTACAAATATAAAACAATAAAGTTGATTAGAAATTTCATAACACAAAATTTATTTTAGTTTATAATAAGAATATAATGTTAATGCATATATGACATTAATTAAATTTTAAAAATACACAAAAATACTGTTATAAGTAATAGTACACAAAAGTGTCATTAGCATAAAAATATGTTTAGTGATAAATGAGACTCTCAAACGTTGATTGTCATGAATCTTACATGAAATTCATAAACTTATATGGCAATCTACAATATTGACGTGACAGTTCATGATACTATTTTGACAGTACTCGATGGACGATGATGTGATAGATGAACTTAATTGATTGTTTTATAAATCTTAAGGACTTATTAATTTTTAAAAATTATTTGAATTAAAATATAAAATATAAAAAGTTATCAAGATATTCAATAAATTAAATAGTTAAATTATTAGAAAAATTAATTTAAGGATTATATTGAGTGTAAAAAAGTTTAGGGACCATATTGACTTTTTCAAAATTTTGAGGGGTTGAGATACAATTAAATAAAAAAAATATTGTTACAATGATTTAAACATGTGTAAGTTAAGTTAAAAATCTAGATATAATGTTTCCTTATTTTTTGAATTTCCAAAACAATTTTAATAAAAATACTGAAAATAATTTTTTTATGTTTTCATATTTTCACTTAATTTTGCTTTCATTTTTCAGAAATCATTTTTCGATTGTACAACCAAGCACTTTTTCTTCAACGTTTTCTATTTTTTATGAAAATAAAAATAAAAATAAAAATAAAATATATTTTTTAAAACCAAACGAATCCATATATTGTATATTAAGGCTATATAAACAAAATCTCCTTTCCATATAACAAAAAATACAAACCAAATATAGTGAATAAAGAGCAAAATCTAGGAAGTGCTTTGAATAAAACAATGGGCCTCACCATATATACACCTACTACCTGCTTTCTTGTTCCATTCTTACCACCCCAAGGGGCCTCTCCTTTAACTACTTTCTAAATTAATCCTTCTAACCTAAACCCATAATTTGAACCAAATCAATTCGTATTATTTTTGATTTAATCATTATAAAATATTTTGAATTTCACTCAATTTAAATTTAAATTAATTCAGATTTAATTAAAACTTTTGATCGAATCGAATATATCGACTTTTCTAACATCTAAGCCTGTTGTTTGGATTTAATCCACAGGTCAGAAACCAAATCTACATGCATGCACACGTGTTTAACTTATATAAACTTATATAATGATCTGCTTAAAGCTCCAAAAATCCAACAACCCATTGACTGTAATTTTAAGTACATATGAATTAGATTATCGGATGATCCTTTGTTCGTGTTCGTTCATTCAATTAAACGAACATAAATTTTTGTTTACATTAGTTTATTTAATAAATAAACGAATATAAACGAATTTCCCGCCGAATAATTCAAAAACGATTCGTTGAATGTTTGGTTCATTTACAAGTCTAGCTGAAACAATAGATAAATGACAAAGAAGATAGAAACAATATTGTAATTATCCATAGAAGAAGAAAGGGATAGATGCATTATAAAATGACAAAGTCTTCATAAATGTGAAGAAATGGACTCTTTCCTTTGGAGAAATTATTCCACAACCAGAAATTTCTTGGTTTCTAGGATTACAAACTTGTGCATATATTACATAGCATCAAATGGAAGCGTGAGTGGTTGAAATTCACATCCTTTTTGACATTTCTTTCATGGAAAATTATCCCCACATTGCCTTATCAACTTCATTGTTTGGTCCAAAGTCTAAATCAACCTACAAATGCATCTAAATAATCCAAATATATAGGATTTGGATTATATCATAATGGAATCATGTTAAAAATTTTCTTAGGTTATTTTCTTTTTTATCTATCGAATTTGAATCTAAGATCTTACGTAAGAGTCTAAGAGACATTAAACTCTTTACTACTTGATCCAACATACGTTGGTAGTAGAAAAAAATTACATTTTATTTATAAAGCTGAGGTTTTATTTTGGGATGGACCTAGACAAGCCGCTCACCCCCTGAAAATTTAAAATCATCATATATTTTAAACTTTTTTAATGTATTTTCTATTGAAAACATGTTTTCACCATTTGAAATTTTATAAGTTCAAATTCGACCATTGAAATTTTATAAGTTCAAATTCACCCCCTAACCTTAATTTATGCGTCCGTCCTTGAACTTCTATCAGTATCTTCCTTTGAGACATAAGAATTGACTTAAAAAAAGAAAAAGAAAACAAAGAGTAAGAGCTGTAAATCAAAACACAAAGGGACCAAACATTAAGGATTCCATGGGAACATTCTATGAGTGCAAAGGAAGCAAAGTAACAAGAGAATGAGAAGACTAAAATCTACCATTTCTTTCTTTCTTTTATGGTTTTAACTTTCAACATTGGGTGGTCAAGTCTTGAAACTCTTAGTGCTTTAAATGAGATAGGTAGAATGTATGGTTCTTCTATCCAAAAAGTTCAATGTTTTCTGATTATATACACACGACTCGCGTGCTGTCTAAAACATGATAGATTTTACTAAATACGAAAGTAGGATTAAATATTGGGAGGGATTGAGATCGATATTTTATTTGAATTTGATGGATTTTAATTTAATTCAAACTTATCGGCATTTTATTAATAGTGTCTTATGTTGACAAAATACAGTTTTAGTAGATAAATTTGATCATATGTAAAATAAGAGAAATGATAAAATTATCCCTCAAAAAGTGATAGATTTGTTTTTAGTATGTGTAAAAGAATGAGTGTAGAAATATATAAGTGTCTTTATTTGTTGACTTTACATTTTGAATGAGATAATTTTAAAACTCAAGATGAATATATTTAATGGAAAAGAGGGAATGTTATAATTATTCATTATATATTTAGATATAATACACCTTTCTATATCATTTTTCGATTAAATATTTATTTTACCTAATAAAAATGAAATATAACATTTGAGTCGTGTAAGATGCGATTTTATTTTTTTTAATAGCATGGAGTTTGCTTTGCCTTTTCCTTATTTTCTTCCGCCTTAAAAAAACCCTTTAAAAACTTGACTTTACTGCACATCAAATTGTTTTATCTAACAATGCCAGGGTTTGGGAAATTGCAGCACAGTTTCCTTGTCCGTATTATTTGGTTAAATATCATTAGCCGAAAGAGATGGTGGTTGCTTGTTAGATCCGGCAACGCCACCCCTGCCGGTGTAGGTGAGCTAAAATCATCTCACCCTCTATGTATCCGCTGTTAGGTAAGAAACATGAAATAATATATCTAACAATAACTCGGTTTATATCGACACCAACGGTCGTAATCCGAGTCTTGATAATTCATTCCCAAGATTCAAAGATCTATATATTGGGACATATATAAAATTTTATATTAAAAAGTGATCGTTTTGATCGGCCTTTAATCCATCCCAAGACTCAAAGAGATGGTTAATGGAATGATTTGTTCGTCGACTTTTTTTAATTTATCGTTTGTCTTATTTTCACGTGTATATGGTTATTGAAATATATTCATTTAATCGATTAATTTACATAAGTATAATATTTTCTAATAGAATTCTTATACCTTTAAAGATCATCTTTGGAGACTACAGGTTTATCCTGCTTTTAAGACCACCTGTTTTCATCAAAGTACTTAGCAACCTTTCAAATCAATTGTATTGTGAGCACAAAACCTTTAGACAAAACGACTGACTGGTCTAAACAATCTACTGGTATAGAATCAAAGATTTACTTGAGAGAACTCTTTAGTCTTCTAATATAGGAATATCTATTATTACCTAATGTACGACACAATCAATCAAAGTCATTATAGATATCTCTCTGTTATGACTAACAAGTGCGTTTTCTTTTCCTTCTGATTAATTTTCTTCTTCATGTTCAATTTTTCTTCCATAAGAAAATATTGACTAACTATTGTGCTATTGTAGATTGCGATTTTTCATCTAAATTATAATGAATAAATGGTCAATGATTGACGTGTCAAACTTATTCTTATTAACAGAAATTGATCTTAAATTTTATTTTTTATTTATAATGTTAAAATTCAGACTTATTATTTTATTTAAATTTTTATTAATTTCAATAGTTAAGAATAATAAAAAACTTTGACCTATAAATTTACCGCAAGCAAACAAGGAGTTAACCAAAATGGTAGTAAACGAAGGGCATAGGTGTACGACTTGCAATATTCAATTTGCCAGCTGTCGGTTCGTTAAATCGTCTTTAATTCTGTTGAGTTGCAGTTCATTTACCACGCTCTCTGCGGCGTCTTTAAATTCTGCGACACCCCATTCACTGCCCACCCTTTCTCCTTTCCACTTTATTGCCATTAAATGCTCCCTCTCTTTCTGTCCTCAAAACCGCACATAACTCTCGCTCCACAGCCCATACAATTCTATGGCGTCGCCTCCGCCTATGTTATACGGCGTAATCGGAGGACCTGGCTCCGCCGGAGATAAAACAGCAACTGAACGGTCGCATTCTCCGTCTTCTTCAGCTGAGAACGCGAAGCCGAGTATAATGATAATAATATTGATCCTTTCGATAACGCTGATTGTTTCGGTTTCTCTTTGTCTTCTTCTGCGGCATCTGAACCGGCGTTGTTTGCGATACCTCTCTCGTTCCTCGACTTCTACTATTATCGCCTCCGCTTCCAGTCACCGTGTCAGTCCGGAGAAATCGCCGACGGGTTTGTTGCTCGATTCTCTTCCTCTTTTCACTTTCTCCTCCATTACTCTCCGCTCCAGCGGTGATTCGACTGGTGATTGCGCTGTTTGTTTGTCGAAGTTTGAACCGGAGGATCAACTCAGGCTGCTCCCTCTCTGTTGTCACGCGTTTCACGCTCACTGCATCGATACGTGGCTTGCATCAAACCAGACTTGTCCTCTATGCCGTTCTCCGCTCTTCACTTCTGAATCGGATCTCATCAAGTCATTGCTTCAGTCCTCTAATGAGGCTGCGCCGATCGGAAATGGAGGCAGCGATAGTTTCCGGCTTGAGATCGGCTCGGTAAGTCTCCGACGACAGCCAGGCACGGAATCAGGCGAGCAAAGAAGGTCATACTCCATCGGCTCTTTTGATTACATTGTAGAGGAAGAATCAGAGGTGACTAGGAATCAAACTCATCAAAGAAACGTGTCCGATAAGGAAGAGTTCGCCGGAGTTGATGCAGCTTCGGAAGCGAGCCTCGCCGCGGAGGTAGCCACCAGAAGGAGTTGGCTCAAGGAATACGTAGATAGGCTCTCTTCTTCATTATCGTCTCGAGCCTTATCATTTCGTAGCTCAGGCAGGTTCTTGACCGGAAGCAGTCATCGAAGCGATATCGCCGGCTCCATCGGCGGTGATTATGACGTGGAAGCCAATAACATCGGCGAGGAAATCAGCGAAATGTTTCGTTGGTTCTCAGGGGTATAATAGTCAAATTAGAATTCGAACTCTGAAAGTAGGGACATGTCCGCCGTTTCCTACTTTTCGTTTCGGTTAGTTTGTTCTATCTTTTGCTCATTCCACTCTCTCCCGGATCGGAATATCGTAATCCGTACGTCAACGAGTGCGCAAAAAGGTTAAGAAATGGAGTGGACATAGCAACATTTTTGAGTGCAGGTGATTTATTTTTTACTGATTTACCCGCTGTAGATAAAGTCACGTAGACTCCGGGGAAGAGACAACATTTACACTCCCTGGTAATTTTTTTAATTAAAATTGGTTTAATGATCATCCAATGGCTCACATTTGACCTTCAAAATCTAACGGTATTAAATAATGAGTGTGACTTTTTTGGTAATAAATTATTATACTTATGGAGTATATATAGTAAAAACACGTGGCATTGATAAATTTGTCCATTTGGTCATGATGCATATTTATTAAATATCTCTCATCAGATATATAATTAAGTGATGGAGTGGATTTTAAGCATCCAATACTCTTCTTTGCATTTGATTTTGTGATAAAATAATTGTTAATCCTTGAAGTGATTAAATTTTTAATTTTTTTATTAATATTAGACTCCAAGTTTAATAATATTTTCTTTTAATTATTTCCATCAACATGACACTTTAAAATTATACTATACGACGAAGACAAATTTCATATTATCAAAAAACAATATAAACTAAAATACCATGGATATATGAAAATAGGAGTTACAAAACTAATTTAGTGAAGATAAATGAGAACAAAATGTATTGAATTTGATAGTACTAAAAACAGGGTGTATTTATTATTGTTTGTTTGTTTATTAGGTACAGGTAGATGGGTCGGATCTAACATCATTAAATTTCGTCACTCTCCTAAGGGCAATAAATATTGCAAACATATTTTTTATAACTATTATTATTTGATTGATCATTAATTTAGATCAAATATTACGAAAATTTATTATAAGAATTATTTTATAATTTAATTTGTTCCATTTATATTGTCAAAACATAAATTTGTTGATGACAACAAGTGATTTTCATCGGCCGACAGTTTATCTATTCTGATTTTATCTAATAGTCCTGAACGGTAAAAGAATGATTATTAAACGGTGTTTTGTATTAAAGAGTGTCAATCATGGAGCAAGGAGGATGAAAAAGACAAAGGTTGTAAGGGCTTTAGTCCCTCTTCTAATCTTAATTGAGATATTTATAGTGGTTTATCGTGCATGTGCTAGTGGTTTAGTCATTATACCTATTTATAGATTGATTGGAGTAGATTCATCAGTTAATTTTTAAATTTCGCTCACATCATGTGGGAATATCAGAGGTTTATCTAGAGATTTTGTACATTAACAATAGCTAGCCTGAGACGTTTGCCTAGATGAGTCAGGTTCATGAGATTGAGGATTAAGTATAGATGTCAGTTTAGGGCTTTTGACTGGCTATTGAGATACAAGTTCTGATAATTTTCAGAAGTTGTCTCTAAAAAATAATAAAATTATTAATTTTATTTGAAGGATCTAATAACTCATTCTTTTAAATTAACTAATACATACTAAAAAAATATTATTTTTAAATTAGAAAATTTTATTTGCTATGGATAAGATAGCTGTTTTAGCAAGTATTAGGTTGGGAGTTGAAATGTATTATTCTTTTAGGTAAATGTAATTCAAATCCTTTTCACTTTTACACAAATATTTAATATAATTTTTATATAATCTTAAAGTGTAATGTTTAGCGGAAGCGAAAATATATTGTCAATAGAAAATACAAAAAAAATAACCTATAATATAAGAAAATTTAAAATTTTTTAAATAGTGAAAACAAATTATCAATAGAAAATATAAAGAAAATAAATTATAATATAACAGACTTTAAAAATTTTAGGGAGTGATTGCAAGACCCGCTCCTCCCTTGGTTTATCCTTGATCTCAGTTAACACTGTTATAAAAGAAACAATCATTGTATGAAATAGTATAAGATCAAGGACCAAATGTAGAATTAAACCTAAAAAATGTGGTACTGACATATTATTACATTCTGTGTTGATGCTTATTGATTAAATATTATACATGATTAAATTTTTTTATAAGTAAAGCATTTGATTGGATGAAAAGCATTCAGATTAGGGATGAACATAAGTCAGGTTGGGTCCGGTTTTTGGTCTACCCGACCCGATCTGAGAACAAGGGAGCCTCCATCCGAGATCCGACCCGATCAAAATAAGGTTTCATCCGACCCGACCCAACCAAACCCTAATATATGACATTAAAACCGACCCAACCCGACCCGAAATAATAAAAAAATTATTTTTATTCAATAAAACAATGACTTAATTGGAAAAAAAATTATATATAGAGGAATATTATTATAATTATCCCTAAATATATAGGATAAAATTATATATTTTTTCCGGGTCAGGTCGGATTTTTTTCACCCTAAACCTAAACCCAACACGAATACCACATCAAAAAACCCCGACCCGAACCATTTTTTTATATAGAAAAACCCGACCAACCCGATCGGTCGGGTCGAGTCGGAACCCTTCGAGTTCGGGTCACATGCTCATCCCTAATTCAGATGCAACCACTATTTTTTCTATGTATTTGGCCGTGTCGTCTGTGAAAATAAAATTTAATTTGTTGAATTTAACGAGAAAACTTATATAAAATTTAATCATTTATTCATGTAATATGATTCAATAATTTTTACTTTGTTTGCACTTATTTTTAAATTAATTTGTCTAATAATTTGACGTGATTCATTTTTAAACATATCTATACACTTTTACATTTTTTTTAATTGAATAATCACTTGTTTTAGAAAAAAATTACATCAAAATATTTGATGGAATTATTAGAAAAGTTGATCTCACGACTAAAAATACATATTTCAAAAAACGGAAACACTAAAAACGATTAAAATACATAGATGGACTACATTTAGCAAAAAACACATGATTTTGGGACCTTTCTATAAAATTTGACAACAATTTTTTATTATAAAAAAACTCACTTTTTATATTCTTTAAACGAGCAATGTAAGAAAATTACGTATTTAATACCTAAACTATTAATTTTGATCTATTTTAGTATCTAAATTTTTATTTTTTTCAAATCCATACCTGACTTTTAATTTTTGTTTCATTTTAGTATCCGTCGTTAAAAACTTAACGCGTTTAGTATATAACTATCAGTTTTGGTTCGTTTTAACACCTAAACTTTCAATTTTAGGTATGATTTGGAAAAAAATTAAAAGTTTAGATACTAAAATAGACAAAAACTTATAATTTAGATACTAAAATGCGTCAAACTCCCATTTAGTTTAGGCCATAAAAAGCTTAGGCCATGCAACATCCAATGTGGCATAATGATCAGGAAGTTGTAAATACACACAAGTTGTTCAATAACATAGTTTAAAAAGTCTTGTTAGATTGATGAGGGTGACCCGATCCGATCCGAGGTGTCACATTAGAGCCACCAGAGCGACCCACAGTAAAAAAATCTAGGAAAAATTAATTTTTTTTGTTGAAATGTATAAAATCATAAAACAAATTTATAAATAAAATACAAGTTCAGAAAACCATTCATATATTACAAACATAATTAAAATCATACAAGTTCCAGACTTAGTATATATAAAAAAAATCAAATGTGACCTATATGCCCCCTGATTACACATTGTATCGTACTCTGCAAGAAAAGCCGAAGGAACTCCCAATGTTGAAGTTGATAGCTGCACTAGATCGATTCTTTTAACCTGAAATGGTGAGTAAAGAGTGAGCTTTGGGAAGCTCAGTAATACAGAACAACCAGATGAATGCAATAGGCCATCAGGTCTATGGTAAAACATAACTTTCCTTAGCGGGACAGACATTATCAGATTCTAGTGGTGAATTCAGATTTCATTCGCTAAGTCTTCAGTTACAAACATTAATTTATAGTCTAATGGAAGTATTCAAAGAGATAGATTCAGAAGATTGAATTGGAGGGTCTAGTGTGTTCCAACAAAATAGATAAATGTGAACAGATCCTTTAAAAACATTAGTAGTTTAAAACATATTTTTAAAACCAAATTAATACCCTCAAACCGAACACCGATATGCAGTTCCCTAGAACTGCATCCATAAGGACTTACCCTAGGCCCATTAGGCGTAGGAGCCAACCTAAAGGATTATCTTGGGGCCTGAAAGCCTACCCAAGGGAGTACCTTAGGGCTTAAGAGCCTAACCAATGAAGTACCTTGGGGCCTTAGAGCCTACCCAAGGCCACCTTAAGTCCGTAAGGAATTACCAACTTGATCAGAGTTGAACCTCCATACTCCAGAATCCTACACATACAACATCCCAATAATAGATTCATACAATAAACAGTAGATTCCATGATCCATAAATCATGAAGGATTATATTTTCCAATGAAAATAGGTGACCAGTGAGCACATATCTGTAGCCATAGGTCATAAACAATAAATCAATATCTTCGATAAATCACATTTCAGGACATATAAAATAATCATATAGCACATAGAGAACACACTAGAGGATCCAATTATTTTTTTGAGGTACTTAGCAATTATCAAGCGGGGAAACACAAAACTTTTGCAGACTGATTGAATTTCAGAAATGAGATCCCTATAAAAAAGGGGTTTGATAGCTAACAGATTCACCAATTATTCAAGAAGTGATTTATCAAGATCATAGTATTCAAATAAATCAGTAAGGTATTAAGGAATTATTTCATCAAAATTTATTTAGGATTCAGACATTCATAAAGTGATTCCATCAATCAGGCTTATAAGGACATTTTAGTTATCCGTTTTCTAAGAAATTTTGGTAATTCAATTTAATAAAGGAATGCATTGATTTACAGAATTTCATATTTCAATCATCTTAACATGTTTTCAATTCCCATCACATTATACAATTCCCATCAAAGGCAACAATTATCAATTATGTAGGTAGAGAAACTTCACGAATATTCCTTTCTTAAAACTGGCTGCACTGCAAAATCAAACTGATCACATTCAAAAACGTTTTTGAATGGATCATGAGGAGACGAACATGTATTTAAGCAATATTTATTTACTTCTCATATTGTAATAGTATTAAGGATGATCAACCTACTTAGGTAGTACTCTAAAAACCTTAGGGGCATTACAATATTTAAAGCTTTTCCGATATCTTCAAAAGTTATCCAAAGCAATTGCTTAATCCAAGTCATGAGGGTATTTAGATCATTCTGGTATTTGAGGTAGATTTATTCATTTCAAAGCTTATGGGTATTCAGTCATT